TTCTTTTATTTGTTTTTTTTTTTGTTCAATCCGTAAAGACAAGTTAAATATTGGCAACCCCATCGAGACACGGACTAATTTCGTCGACCACTTGCAGCGCCATTCGGTGAAACGAGGTTGGGGAAGGGAATTGGAGGGTAAGGGGTGGGCCGGGTCGTAGCGTATAATTAATCAGGAATTCCGACAATTAAGATGAACTTCTTCAGGCAACGTTTTTCTATTTCCCCTTCCTTTTCCCGTTTTTCTGGTCTCGAAGAGAGATTATCAACGGTAGAAGTTTAAAGTTAAGCAAGTATTTCGATTTCGTTTCGTTCAGCTCCGAGCCAACGCACTGAACTCACACCCCGTTTCTCGTACTTTCCATTTCGACGAAGAAGATCTTCAAAACTTTCCTAATTGCCCTTTCCCAGTCCCCACCGTCCCCCTCCGTTCCCCCACGGTCCCCATTTCCTTACAAACAATCCTCTCTCGAGAGATACAAAATGTATTTTTATTATATTTTATTTTATTTTATTCATCAAAATAGTATCTTGATCTGTGTTCACCGATCGGTGATCGCGAAAAAATTTTATCATCGTGAGATTAATCAGAAAATTATTTATAATACAAAAATGCGAACATCGATGTTATATTTGTAAATAGAACAAAAAAGAAAGAAAAAATAGACAAAAAAAAAACCACCGAGTTTACATATAATGTAAATCGGCAAACCAGGAAGTAAAAAAAAAAAAAAAAATTCGACAAAAATTCTAACAATACCCGTATTATAGATCGACGATTGAACAACAACGACTGAAGTATCGCAAAACGAAGAAGAGATATAAAAGAAAAACAACAAGGGAAAATTAAATGGAAAAAAAAAAAGACCAGAAGTTGGGGGAGAAAATATTAATAAAAAAAAAAACAAACAGGATAAATCGGTTACAATTGAATGGGGACCAGAGGGGGGAAGAGGTGAGTGCGTGGATTCGTGTATGTGTCGTGTACTGATTGATGGACGAAGTTACACAAAGCGGACTTCCGAGCTCACGAACCCGACACACCCCACCAGGTCGACCCCATTTTCACGAACCACCATCCTCATTCTCTCTCCCAACCTTACCCTCTCTCTTCCACCCTCTTTCGAACGAGAAACGAGTAGCAAACCAAAACCCGTCTGCGCGTTTCTCTAGAGGTTATTTCTCTTTTCTGAACAAAATCAACCGCAACGACGGATGTTTTCACATTAGTAACCGTACTCGTCCCTTCGGGGAAAGACTCCACGTGCTTATTGCCACCCCATTCGCAATAATATAACACATAGACACACACACAGTTATATATGAATACACTAAAGTCCAAAAGTTTGGAATCGTTTACTTAATTTCGATAATATCGTATATACCGATCAATTTTGAAACGATTTATCATTGTTCAATATATTATTACTTAAACAATGTTATACACAAGCCATTGAAATATATTAACATTTTTTTCACAATCCGTTATTCTCTTATATTATTTATAACACTCGGTTGTAAACCAATGCTTAGAACAAATGTTTCTATCGGTAAATCATTTTTCTCTATGTATAAATATTAGAAAAAAAAAACAACTCTCTACAAAATATTCATTGTTACTTTATTGATTAATAATAAAATGAGTCCGGGGATTTTCGTTCGCGGTCCCTGGGTAAAAAAGAATTAACACAAAATAGTAAAACATTCCAGTTGTAAAATGTTTTTTCTTTTTTTTTTTTGCAACAAATAAATCTACATCGATTATTCCAAACGCATTTGTTTCTTCTGAGAAATATCTTGTATCTCTCTTTTTTTTCTCTCTAACAATTTATGTAGAGATCGCAAACTTTTGGGAGATAGTGTACGTGCATATCTACACATGTTAACAGTTGCCCTCGGCGTCTTATATTCTTCGAACAAGTGCGGAAAGTCGACGAACATTATCAGGAAAAAGACTGCAATCGCAAGAGATTATTTTCCTTCCTTCCTTCCTTCCTCCCCCATCCCCCTCATCCATTCCTACCTTTACTACTCCTCATCTTTTCCTCCCTCCTTCCTCCCTACCCCCCAACCCTTTTCACAATCAATTCTTTCTCCAATATCACTCCATTTTCAACGTCCCGTTTTCACGCGACGAACATTTGCGCGTTGAACTCCTTATGTTAGATAATAGTTTATGAAATATCGAACAAATAAACGTGCGAAATAGAAAAAAGAAAATAAAAAAAGGTGAAATCTCGTGCGCGAATTTTTGTGTGTGTGTTGCTTATTACAATGATATATATTTATCATTCTTTCCTTTTTTTTTTTGGTTTTTTATTTAATCAGATAAAAAATAATAATGTAATTGTAGAAATTTGTTTTCTTTAAAATAAATCATATCGTTAATAATTGATCATTGAATAATTTAACATTAAAATATTCTTGTCATTAAATTAATACATTGTCGATCATTAAGAATTTTCAATTAAATATAAGAATTTAAGTATCGATTTAATGATACGATAATAAAACAATAATTATTTTGGCTTGTTAACGATATATTAATTTTAATCGAAGATTCAACTTACAATTAAGAGAAGTCGAAACCTTCTAACTTGGATAATAAAGGAAAAAGGTTTAACGAGTCGAGCGTAATACAACGTAATTACCAATCACGAATCACCAGTGTGTGATATAGGATTTGTTATGTAATGTTTATCCCTCCCCTAGGGATAGTTCCGGTTGGGAACATTATAAATGCAAATGGATTGGTGCTTTTGTTACGAGCGAACGAGAATGAACGAAAGAGAGAAAGATAGATCGATAAAGTGAGTGTGTGAGAGTGAGAGAGAGAGAGAGAGAGAGAGATAAAGATAGTCTGTTCTTTCAGGTTGCTTCCTTTCAACGGATAATCAAATTATATTTCAATTCGCCATGAGAGCTTTTCTAAGGGATCCAATATAAAAATTAAAAAATAAAATAATAAAGAGAGAGAGAGAAAAAAAATGAAAATAATAAGAAAAATTATACGTGAATAATATATTAAATAAATGATTATATTTGATTCTATATTTATAAATGATTACGTCCCGAAATAATATGATAAATAATGAAAATATCGAATTCTGTGCATACTAATTAAGCGAGATAATAAGCTTCGTAATGTCCTAACAGTTTGCGAAGTTCAACTCGAGCGAGGATGATCGCTTTGAAATTCGTTAATCTAGTGAACTAAAGTTATCTCCGAATGGGTCGATAATTAGAGAAATTAGTGAGATGTGTGATGAGAAGAAAAAATTTATAAAAAAAAAAAAGGAAAAAATAAAGAAGAGGAAATTAACGAACGAATAATTCATCGGATGAATATATATACTTATGTGCGTATTATAATTATTGTTAAAAGCTTATTTCACGCATCGTCTGGTAGTGTATTTCTATTTATTCATTTTACATCTATATATATAATATATAATAAATATATTATAAAATGTAATATAAATTTTTTTTATATATTCTATATTATACTGAACCTAGAGTATAAAATACAATACAATATACAGTATTAATATCTTTTGTTATAATTTTATAATGATGCATTTCAATAGATCACGTTAATAAAACATTTAATTCATATTTTGACGTATAAAACATACTGATAAAAAATATTTTAAACTGAAGAAAATTGGGACACTTACATTCATTTACAAACTGTTTAAAAAAAAAAATAAGAGCAAAGTTTTGAAAATGGTTGAACTATAACTAGGACAAAGAATATAATATTGCGTTTGAAATGAGAGTTGACTAACGAAATCTGTTCTTTAGAATTAGAAACTTTGTCTATGTGTGTGTGTGTGTGTGTGTGTGTGTTATCCACTTTAATACTTATCTTTCTTACATTTTCTCTTTTACTCTATATCTCTCTCTCTCTCTCTCTCTCTCTCTCTCTCTCTCTCTCTCTCTCTCTCTCTCTTTCTACTTTCTCCCATACCCTTTGTCGTTCTCATGACATGCATGCAGCCTGGTGAAGCTCGCGTTGAAGGTCAGGACTATGTAATACCGCAAGAAACTGCCGCAATTGCGGTTTGTACGCCGGCAAACGTTCCGTGGCACAATGAGCCACGAAATTCACTCTCCCCAAACCACGGCCCATTTACTCCTACTTGTTTTACTACCAGATTTCAACACTTTCGCAGAATATTCGTAACGTATATAAACTATTACATATTATATTATATTCAATTATATTTTATATATGACATTTGATAACATAAATAATATTATTATTATTATTCCATAATTTACGATACGATACGATCCTACGATTATGTAGACAAGTTTTTGAAAAGATAATAAAATGAAGAACAAAACGCGTTAGACATATTAATCGAAATTTTGATTAAACGCAGAGAAAGACAATATTATAACAATAAAATAAAAATATTATTATTTATTTCTGGGGACGGGGGGGGGAGAGAGGGGATGGAGACTTATTACCTGTTGTTACCAGAAAAATAATGGTAATTATTTCTCACAGAATAATGTTACTAACATAACGCAGGTTGTAATAAAATAATCAGGGCTTCACAATTTGTATTTATGTAAATGTAAAAATAAAAAGAATTAAAAAAAAAAAAACTGAAAAGAATAATCGACAAATGTGCGTGATTAATATTACAAAACGCGTACTAAACAATAAATCGATAAATAAAACGAACAACACAATACGCGATTTATTTTCAAATCAAAATTATTGATGCAATCGAATAAATCGCAAAGATAAATTGTAAGTCAACGAATTGGGGTAATGTAATATATTTTCGAAATAATGACATCCCCTACAAATGTAAAAAAAAAAAAAAAAAAAATAAAATAATATTTAATTTTCATATAATTCAATTTTTTTCGTACCGTTTCTGAATAAAACAAAACACAAATTGTTATTTAATAATAGAATAAAATTTGTTCGATCGAAAAAGAAAAAATGGGAAGGAAAATGAAGCGAATAATTGAGCAACAAACCTGTTCTGCTGTTCGTCGACGGTAACAGACTCGAGGGTGGTTTGTAGACGTTGACCGAGGCAACGGGGTTGCTCCCCCCGTTGCGGTGCTCACCGGCCGGTTGTTCGGCCCTCGATACGCTCCAAAGCGAGTAGACCCTCTCCGACACCCTTTGAACCAAAGGTAATACCGAGAACTAGCGCTACTGCGCCATGCTTTACGCCTCTACTACCCTCGTCGTCCTTTGGTTTACGCATACCACAGATTCTATAAACACAAAGGAATTGCCATCTTAGTTCAATCGTCCCTTAATTAATCCTATATTTATTATATGAATTTTAAAAAAAGAAAAAAAGAAAAATAAATATTTCTAAATATAACCAAAATCATCTCCGTTGATAATAATTTAAAATATTTATTATTTATATCAATTTTATAGTTCTGTTACATAAAAAAAAAGTAAATATTAAAATAAGAAAAAAAAATTTATTACAATTATTTTTTGTTTTCTTTTTTGTTTGATTGATCGTAAACAAATATCTGTGATGAGTGGGCGTGTAAAAATGAAAAGATCATCTTCGTTCACTGACATCAACGTTTATTCTTTTACGAAGGAAAAGGTTGTTCATCCTGGGACGTCATTCTTATAAATAAATGCAAACGAATAATTACTTTGATATTTGTTACTTCGAAAACCGTTCTATAAACAATCTAACCTAATCCACATATTTACATATACACACACGTATCTTCAAGATTCTAACGTTTATGCATCTATCGAAATTGATTACAAATAAAAAAGAAGAAAAAAAGATAAAAATGTTGTCTAACACGTGGTATATTTGTTAGACAAAATTACATAAATCGTAATGAAGTATTATTAATTTGAAACGTGTTTGAAACACACATATTCATCACGTACGTATGTATATTATATATATTTATTATGTAGAAAATATTCAAAGGTAAAATGAAGACACATAGGAGTGAATTTCGCATGCGCATTATAAGTAACGCTTAGAGAAGGTGGTATACGCAACCCCTCTTATTCCTACTATATGCTTCAACCCCCCTTTTCTCTTATGTGTCGCCAACTCTGTTAATATTCATTCCGTTAATAACCCCAGAATTTCCCTACGAACGCGACGACTACGACAACGTTGGGGAGGACGAATTTTCTGCAGACGCGTTTCCCTCGAAGGTCGTAATAGTTGTCAGGTGTTGGCACGTAATTAACGCAATTTTTTAAACGCCACTGTCTCCCTTTTCTCTTCCCCTCTCTCTCTCACACACACACACACACGCATACTCAAACTTTCAATATATTTATATTTTCTATATTATTTCTATACACACTATTCCAAATTATTCAATTATTATCTATCATGCATTCACTCACTCATATTTATACATTTCTTACACTCACGACTAATTACACCCCACTTTTCGAATACTACATTATATATATATATAATTATTCGTTAAATACAAGACACTGATATCTAACTTTATCATTTTTTCTTTTCTTTGACTTTCTGTCTGTCTCTTTCTTCCTTTTTTTCTTCTCTTTTACATTTCTCTCAATGGACAAGTCTTTTATTTTCTTTCCTTTCTTTTTTGGTTATATTTTTCATGTTAGTTGACACTTCTCATGATGAAAGGAAAGAACGATGATCATGCACATATGTATTTAAAAAAAAAAAAAAAAAAAAAGGAGGAAAGAAAAAAAGAAAGAGAATAAAAATCCTTTATCGTTATTACGAGCTCACGTGTCGTCCAGTTGTCAAGCTAGAACTAGGGAAAAATTTGAAAATGGTGCTAACATTTTTTTTTCTTCCATCCCTTATTTTTTTTTTTTTACTTTCTTTTCTTTCTTTATTTCTCACTCTGTTGGATTAAGTAGAGGGTTTTATTAAAAAGTATAATAAAGTTGAAGTTCCTTTAAAGTGATCGTGTGTCCTTCTTTTTCTATCTTTCCATTTCTTTACTTTTCTTTTCTTTCTTTTTACGATTACGTTATTCCACCCCTCGTGGTAACTATACTTTTATGACACAGATAAACGTGAAAGTAGATAGATAATGGCATTTTTAAGGATTCCTTATATTCTCCTTCGTATGATTTTTAACGAACTAGAATAACAATAACGATAACGTACGAAAATAATGATAATAATAATAATAGATATTATTGAGATAATTTATAAAAGACGAATGAAATATCCCTTAAACGGGATATACACAATTTTTAGATTATTTTTCCACATCAATTGCTCTTCTTTAACAATTTTTTTGTAATCAAAAAGTTTGTAAAAAATGTAAGCTTCTCGTAAATGGTCCTAACCTTGTAATCTTGCAATATTTATTATCTGAAAGAGAATAAGATAGAAATATCTTGAAAATGGAAAACAAAATTAATGAATTTTTAAAATCATCTAGTAATATTTGGTTCAGCTTATAAAAGAGATATCAAGTATCATAGAAAATTTGTAAATAGTAGACCAAATGTATCCCTAAGTGATATGAAAAATGAATTACTCTTCTTAAAAATTTGTCGTGCTCTTAGTTTAGCCTGTAATTTAAAAATTAAATATTACACGATTAACAACATGAACAATAATTAGTCTAAAATGTGTCTCGAAAATAAGAATAATTAATTCTTAATATTATCTAAATAAAACTTTCGTTTGGTCCAATTTGTAAGAAAATAAATTGAAAATAAATTCGCGAGGCTACAGAAAATATTGTTCCTTTTACTTTTTTTTCTTTATCCGTCTTTATTTCTTCGCGTCTGGCCCGGTTTTTTTTTTCTATTTTCTTTATTTATTGATAAACTCGTGAAATATTGATAAGAAGGGAAGAAGAAAAATGATGGTTAATGATAGTCACTCACGAGTAGTGGGAGATTCGAGACGAGCCCTGATGGGTCAAAATTAACGTGAAAACTCACGCAATGCCGTGACGCGTTACTCTTTCTCCTTCTATCATTGGTCACGCGATCTTCTTCTTCGCATTTTGTTTGTACAGTATCTACTACAAATTATTCCAAACTCATCTAATTCATTCTATTTTTCTTTCCCACCTTTTATCTAACGAAAAGAAAATAAATTCGAATAGTTAACCCGTCGTTAACCCGATGAAATTTGTGTTCGACTTAACACGTAAACCGTATGCACGTTTTACCGCATTACTTATATCATTTATTTTTATCTGAATCCGATAAAATTGTTCAATAGGTAGTTCGTAGCCGGCAAATGAAACGAGAACATTTCTAAAAAGTAATGGTATTCGATCAAAAAACAAAATATTTGAATTTTCACAACGATCCCACACACATACATTTTTATTATGAATTCTTCCAAACTCTATATAAAGGAAAAAAGAAATCAAAACTAAATAAGATCTGATAAAGAATAAGAATTTTCTATGGAAAGGGGTGGTTTAAAGAAAGAGGAGAAAAAATAAAATAAATTGAAAAATTCAAAATGTTAAAAGGAAAATCAGAATTCAATGGTCGAACCTCAACGACGATTGTAAAACTCGTCGTTAGCATGAAAATGGAGAGTACCAAAAAGTAAGTAAGCAAGGAAGGAAGGAAGAAAGGAAGTTAGCTAGCTAGCTAGCTATAGTAATAGACAATTATCGTTACTATCGTTTTCACGTTTAACCGTAGACTTTTTTTAAACAGGTTTTTCTCTTAAGTCGATTTTCCTTGGTGCGTGGAGTCTAAGCACGATCGTTCTTTCCAAGTCACTTTTTCATGGTGGAACAGAACGGCAATGGTTAAAAGCTGGTTCGGTAAGGGTCCCTTTTACATTTTTTACCCTTAACTCCTACTTTCATTCGGCTAAAAGAACGCGTCGCTAAACGACGTAACTTTTATCGCTGGCCATCTCGACTTTGCAAACTGTGCTGTTACAGGGGGGAGAAGAAGAAGAAGAGGAGGAGGAAGGATTGAGGGGAAACGAGAAGAGAAGAGAAGAAAAGAGAAAACGAAAACGAGAACGACAACGACGAAGATGATGGCTTCGACCTAACGGGGAAAAGGTTGGAGAGGTTCGAAGTCGTTTAAAGTTCTACGAGCCTTTGACGCTGGCATCTCTTCCTTCAAATTGCTTCGAGCGTAGTTGACTACAACAGAAAGAGAGAGAGAGAGAGAGAGAGAAAGAGAGAGAGAGAGGTAGCTGAGAATATAGATTTGTGCATATATAGATGCTTTTATGTAACTTTGTATGCGTGGGTCTTTGTATGTGCATATATAAACGTTTACAAGTATACTTCTATATAAATTCGTGTGTGTGAGTTTATGTGTATACATATATAAACGTTTGTACATGGGTTTATGTATGTGTGCATATATAAGTGTATATATGCGTGTGTGAATGGATTTATTTCCATATCTGTATATATACTTATATATAAATTTGTGTCCGTGGATTTGTGTGAGTGTATGTATACTTGTAATATATGCTCGAATACATGAGCTTATATATGTGTGCAATGATACGTACTTGTATATAAGTTTATATACTTCGATTTCTTTTTATATAAATATTTGTGAATGCATACGCTTCTATGTAAGTTTTGTGTGCATGGATTTTATGTGTTTTCATGTAAATGTATACGCATAAATGTTTGTATACATATTTAAGTACATAGATTTATATATATATGCGTATGCAAACGTGTTAGAATATATCTATGTTAGTGCACGTTTAAGTGTACGTATATATGTATGTATTTATACATATGGAGATGTATATACATTTGTGTGAGTATATGTGTGTGTAGCTATGGGAGTGTATTTGGGAAGAAAGGGACAGAGAATAAACGTCGATGCCAAGCAAGAAGGTAGGTACTGTGTGTGCTTACAACAAACTTTAATGAGCAAGTGAGTAAGAGAGAGACAAAGACAGATACGGAGACAGAGGAAGAAAGATAAAGAGAGATAGAGAGAGGCTATTCGCAAATCGATAACTCGCCAAGTGAAATGTACGCACGACCGAGCCGAAAACCAATCTACGGGAATTAACTTTAATTCGATATCAATAATTTGCTTCTCTCGAAGGCGTGGCAATTCGTTATTATCCCCATTTCCAACCCTCTTAAACCCTTCTCTTCCACCATGGAAACGTTTAAATGGAAACTTCATCTTTCATTTCATTTCTTTTTATTTTAGATCAATTATCTTAACATCCTGAATATTATTAAACATATTATCTTATATAATCATATTTTTATATTTTATGAAACGGCAAATAATATTTTTT